TTTTTTTGCATCGGTCACTGATGCATGTAATTTGAAATTTTCTTTGTTCCACGTCTGTGGGCATTGTTGTAATTACTAAAAAAGTTCGTAGATAATGAAGATAATATGATGAAATACGGATTTCTAAATGAAGGAGAGTAGCCACCGGAATACATTTTCATTAAGCGTTTACTGCTATTTACTCAGTGTTTGGTTAAAAAAATATTTGGAGTGAACCCACAGTTTTTTTTTTTTTTAAATTGTGAGTCTTAGTCTTTGTTTGACATCCCAGTTTACGCACTGAGACAGTAAGAAATGTCGTCTTACTGCCGTAAATATTTTTAGTTTCTAAATTCGCTTGTCGTTCGTCTACTGCAACATTTTTGAACATAAGTTGTGGACTCTTGTTGATTGGGTCATGTCTCTTTAAAAATTTGCACCGTTCTCCTTTTTTCTAGGCTTTGGTGATTCATTCTAAAGGGCGCTTGAACTCAGATTTCCGCTTATGAGCACATCGTGTACTTCTTTTGTTACGACTGTAATATGAAACGAAAATGTGGCTTCAGCGTAGCGTAATGCGTTTTTCCAGCTGATTACATTTTAACAACGTTAAGAAACTGTTTGATGTGTTAGATACGCTGAGCTTGATTATGATGTCTTTGATACCGAATTACGGTACTTGCTTAATGGCAGTGCAAAAGCTATGGATGAACGGATACCGTAATGGGATGCCGTGATTTTTCATAATAGAAAGAGATACAAGATTTATTTTTAAGTGTAGTGAACTACTAAAGTTTGGAAAATTTTGGAAGTGAGTTTTCAAATAACAGTTGGCAGATATCTTGCGGCACCCTGTCTACTATGCTTGCGTGGAAGATACCACGTCATCTATTGAAGTTACCTTGTTGTACGCTATCGGAATCAGGACGGCTGTCATCCTGTTGATAGAGAGCATAGTTGCAGCATAAAATTGTGCATGCCTAGAGTAGGTCATAGTGAATTGCACCAAAGAAATCCCATAAGATGGTGATCCCCATAAAGATAACATCTCTTGACAAAAGTAGCCGATCCCAATAAATCTTGTAGACGTCATGTCGAAACACCACATCACCACCATCTAAACGGAATAGATAAATAGTTGATGGCTAACATAGCTTATTGCAGGAGGGTAGCACTTACTATCAGCGTGTAAACAGCGTAGATTCTGAGGAAGGCCAGCTTTAAAAAGGGATTATTACTTTTCTTTATTATTACTATGGCAATATTGATGTATAAGAATACAGTGGGAATCCCATAGAGTAAAGGAATGTAATAGAAGAGTTCTTTGCCAAATTTGTAGGTTGTATTTTCACATTTCATAGCCA